GTGAAAGGGGGTGGGGTAGGGGTGAGGGTGGGGTAAAAATATTGAATTTAAAAACAAACTTTAAATTATTATTTTTTTGGGAGTGGTTTGGGGGGCTGATTTGAGGGTAGGGACCAAATAAATTAATTTTTTTTTAATTGGAAGTTGGAAGAGAATTTTGGAAAATGTTTTCCTTGAGTTTTGAAGGGAAGTCATTTTCCTTAAATTTGAGGAAAATGAGTTGATTTGTAAAACATTTAACTAGAGCCGTCAATATGGGCTAGGCCTGTTGGGCCGGCCTGACCTAACCTGGGATTTAATAGGGCTGGGCTATTTGGAGCCCATTTAAGAAAAAAACTTTTTAGCCCGACCTGAATAAGCCTGCTGATTTGTGGGGCTTGAGAAATATAGGTAGGGCCGGCCCGTGGGCTAATACAAATTAATTAAAAAATATAATATAATATTAAAATTTAAAATTAAAGAGATCCAAACTCAAAATCTATTTAAAGTTTTTTAGGAAATCACTAAGTATAGAAGTTGCATCCACCATGAAAATGTCCAAACACTTGTTGCTACTCGAAACTGGTTACATGGTTTTTCTCAAATTGGTAATATATTTTTGTGTACATTTAAATATTATAATTCTCAATTTAGTTATTTTTTAATATTTAACTAATTGAAACCACATATAAATTGCATATGAAAAATGAAGATGTTAAGACAACCTTTCCACAAGTTGATTCAGATATGCTCAATGAAGATGATCATGAAGTGTTAGATACGCCATAGGTTTCATGAAGTGTTAGATACGCCATAAGTTTCATGATTTTTTAAGGAGTTTATTTTTGACATTTTTATGGTTGGAATATTGTCATATTTTTTGTGTTTTATTGTGATCATTGCAAAACAGTTAGGTTAATATTTCTATTTAGATATTTATACTTTTACTTGAAAAAAAACATAATAAATATTACAAAGATAATTTTATTTGTGGATTTGATTAACAAGTAGTAACATTAACACCATGTAATATTGTTTTGTCGATATTTATGATAATATTTTTTAAATTATAATTTATAATTTAATTTAATAATTATAAAAAATATATAACTTTTTAAAAAGTTAGGACTGGCCCGGCAAGCCTGTAGCCCACGTACTTGTGGGTTGGGCCGACCGTTTTCTGGCCCACACCAAAAAATGGGCTAGCCTGGCCTGGCTCGTAAAATGTCAAAGCCTATATGGGTTAGCCCGGATGGGGTGGGCTAGCCCATATTGACAACTCTACATTTAACCCAACCAAACATGAGAAAATTGGAAAACAACCAAACACACCCTAAATGGACAATCTTCTCATTCAATGGATTACAACAATTTCCCCCTTAAAAGTATTTTAGCACCAACTCTATGATCTATTGTTTTCATTTTTAACAATAACTAGGAAATTATGTAACAACAGAGAACAATACAATCTATTCAAATATCATATTTATTAAAATAATACAATACAACATAATATAACATGAAATAATAAGTAACAACCATCCAAAAGTGTTAAAGTATTTTAGCACTAACTATATGCTCTATCATTTTTTTTTTAATGATAACTAGGAGAATCAAGTAGATTTTAAAGATAATAAAGGGCAAAGTCCGTTCTTTTTCCACAATTAACTCTAGTATATAATGTGCATGAATTCCTTCCAAAAATATCATATACTTCTTCAATCTTTAGTTTTCTAGTCTTTTTTTTCTGCCATCTACTCTAAAGTTAATGGCTTCTTCTCAATCTACTCTCTCACCCCTCTTCTCTGCACCACCAGCAACTTCTTTACAAATAGCTCCTACTACTAGGTGAGTTTTATTTGAAACAAAGTTTATATTTTTGTGTATATCACCCTTGTATACTTACTGTATATTATGTATATCCATATAATATGTCGTAGAGGCGGTGTGATCATTTTTAATTGTAATTGGAAAAATTCATTTATATTATTGTTTGATGTGATCTCAGTAGTGATGAGGAGTCTGCTTATATTGACTGGGACAATCTTGGATTCCAATTGATGCAAACTGATTATATGTACGTGACAAAATGCTCTGATGATGGAATATTTAGACAAGGACAACTTAATCGTTATGGCAATATCCAATTGAGCCCATCTGCTGGTGTCTTGAACTATGGACAGGTAAAAAATAAAATAAAAATAGGGCCACAAATCACAATCTAACATATACTAAAAATCGTTCAAAAAATATCTAATTTTTTTTGTTTAAACAGGGATTGTTTGAAGGTACAAAAGCGTATAGAAGAGAGGATGGACGAGTATTTCTATTTCGTCCTGAACAGAACGCGATAAGAATGCAAATTGGTGCGGAGAGAATGTGCATGCCATCTCCTTCGACTGATCAATTTGTTGAGGCTGTTAAGCAAACGGCTCTCGCTAACAAGCGTTGGGTAATTAATTATTTTTCGTTAAATTTATAACCAATCACCTCAATCCTAATCAGGCTTGTTACTTTAAAATTAAATTGAGGGATTGTTATTAAATGTGCAGATTCCACCTTTTGGAAAAGGGGCACTATACATTAGGCCTCTTTTAATAGGCAGTGGTCCAATTTTGGGTTTTGCTCCAGCACCTGAGTACACTTTTCTTGTCTATGCCTGCCCTGTGGGGAATTATTTCAAGGTTAGTTTTAAATTAAAAATTAGCTTTTTAATTTTGTCTTACATCTTTCTCTGGTTCCATTCACACTTCTTTATTTTTATTTCTCTTATTTTTACTTTAAAGAATGACTGAAAAAATAAATAAAATAAAAATTAGAAACTCAAGTAATAATAATCAAAGAAAGTTAAAAGAAAAAATTATGGGTGAAAAAAATCAGACAGATCATTGAACTTTGCTAGAAGGATTATATATACTCCTACATGAATTTTTTAAAAATAATTTTAAATTAATTTCGTTAGATGAAAAGGGTATATGTGCGTCACTTTTGCAACAATAAGATATATATGAACCACTTTTTCAACGAAGAGTATATCAATGATAAATGGCAAAGTTGAAAGGAATATCAGGGTTTTTTTTATTTTATTTTTACTATCATTGTATATGCTAATTATTGCAATTGCAGCAAGGGACAGCGCCACTGAACTTATACGTTGAAGAGGACGTGCATCGTGCCTCACGTGGTGGAGCTGGCGGAGTCAAAAGCATTACTAACTATGCTCCGGTAATTAAATACATACATACTTACTAAATTATAGTATATGGTTTTATTAAAATTCATGCGAGTAATTAGGCACTGAATTTTTTTTAATGTAGGTTTTAAAAGCTATGAAGAATGCAAAAGCAAATGGATATTCAGATGTACTATATGTTGATGCAGTAAATAAGAAATATATTGAAGAAGTGTCTTCTTGCAATATTTTCCTTGTAAAAGGAAATGTACTCTCAACTCCAATAGCCAAAGGAACTATTCTTGAAGGAATAACAAGAAAAAGCATCATAGACATTGCACTTGATCTTGGATATACGGTACACAAAAAAAACAAAACAAGGCCTCTATGCTCAATCGAATAAGAAAGCTTGGCTTGATTTGACTAAGCATTTTGATTTAGGATTTTTATTTTTTGCCAAATTAATACAGGTTGAGGAACGTTTAATTGAAGTTGATGAATTGTTTAGTGCTGATGAAGTTTTCTGTACGGGAACTGCAGTTGGTGTTGCTCCTGTTGGAAGTATCACATATAAAGGCCAAAGGTAAATTACAATATTCAAACGAAAAAAAAATTGCATTTTAATATACAAATTTAATTAGTCAATGCTATAAGATCTTTCAAAATATTTTAAGGATAAATTACGAAAATTTCACTAGTTTATGAGCTAATTACTTAATTTTGATGCTAATTTGCAATATTATGAATCTTATCCGATTTTTGGACTTCGGATACATGTATCTAGCATGCCTAGATACATGTATCCCATATATATGGTGTCAAAATTAGGTGTCATTTGTTCTAGATACGTTGTATCCAAGTGGATCACATGTATATGATCCTCTCGCTTGCATATCTTCCTATCTCGCTCACATCTCTCCTCTCTTGCTCGACTCTCTCCCTATATCTGATATACCAAATACATGTATCTAATATCTCAAATACATGTATCTAGTGTGATTCACATGTATCCTGAGATTATTCACTGGGGATCTCGCTCGCCTCTCTCCTATCTCACTCCCCTCTATCTTTCTCTTGCTCGCCTCTCTCCTATCTCACTCCCCTCTATCTTTCTCTTGCTCGCCTCTCTCCTATCTCACTCCCCTCTATCTTTCTCTTGCTCGCCTCTCTCCTATCTCACTCCCCTCTATCTTTCTCTTGCTCGCCTCTCTCCTATCTCACTCCCCTCTATCTTTCTCTTGCTCGCCTCTCTCCTATCTCACTCCCCTCTATCTTTCTCTTGCTCGCCTCTCTCCTATCTCACTCCCCTCTATCTTTCTCTTGCTCGCCTCTCTCCTATCTCACTCCCCTCTATCTTTCTCTTGCTTGCCTCTCTCCTTATTTTAGTGTATCTGGTAGCAAAAGTACAAATATCTAGGTGTGTCTTATTTGAAATCTAGTATGAAATTATTAATTCGTGAGACAATTTGTAATTATTGCAAACTATTGAAAAAATAAGTAAATATGATAATAATTTATTGTCTAATGTAGTTTATCTGTATTTGGGTTAATCAAATATAAAGATATCTTTAGTGTTATTTAATTTTACTTAATAGCCACTTCTTTTCCATTCCTTCTCAGTTCTCAATAAGTAATTTTTGTAAGTATTTAAATTTTGTGGTGCAGGATTGAATATAAAATAAGCTCAGATCAGTTGTGCAAGCAATTTTATTCAAGATTAGTAGGGATACAAAGAGGTGTTATCAAGGATGAAAGGAATTGGATCGTGGAGATTGAATGATTTTAAAGTTTCTTAACAAATCTTTTTGCTATTATATATATTAATGCATGAGCAAGTTGTATGTAATAATACTATATATATATATATATATATAAAAATTTGTTATATATATATATATATATATATATATATAGACACTAGTAATCATTGATGATATATGAAATTTTACGAGCTCTTGTGACAATAATATATGTAAATTGTTGGTTGTTTATGTAACCTATCATTATCTGCGTCAAATTTATTGTTTAAGTTTGTCTCATTCCAATATTATATGAGCTATTTTTATTTTTCAAAACTCAACTATATCTTCTATTGATCTTGAATCTTAAAATGTCATTTAAATAGATGCAAAATGTCAATAAGACGATAATATTGATGCCTTTATTTAGTTGCACTGCTAAGCAGGGGCGGACCTACAGTGGTTCAAGTGGGTTCATATGAACCCACTTCGTTGAAAAATAACACTGTATATATATGTATATTTAATCAGTTTTTAAAATTTTATATGTATATATTACATTTTGAACCCACTAACACACGTTGAAGCTTAGCCGAGTGGCTGAGGGGGTTCAATATTCCCAGCCAACCCGGGATTGAATCCCTATAGCCACATTTAAGTTTTAATTCGTTTTTTTTATATATAAAACATTCACACACAATTTTGTCCTAAGTAACTTTTGTCCTTTTAGTTACTTAGGAACTATAAAAAGTAGAACAACTTTTTACTTTTACATTTAAAGTCCAATAGTCAACAACTTTTGTCCTTTTCAACACTAATCCCTATTATTTTCAATTCTAAAAATCCTTTTATCTTCTTCTTTGTTGAAAATCTTCTTGAACCTCTCTTACTTTTCCCCCCAAAATTTTGAGCATATTTTTTTGTTGAAGGAAAAAAACTCTCCCCATCTCTCAAATCTTGCACAAGTATGTTTTTCGCTCTTGATTCTAGTCTTTATATATACATATATATGATTATTGTGGTTATTTTTTATTTCTTCAACTAAAAAATCCCTTATCATTCTAAAATCAACAAAAAATTACAAATAATATTAGGTATGTTTCTATGTATTCAATTCTGAAATTAAGGTTATAATTATTTTGTTTAATATTTTGTTTTTATTTGTTAACTATTGAATGAAGAGAAATCATTCATAATATTCTTTTATCTTCTTAGTTTATATTGAAGCCTAGTTTTTCGTTCATCTTGTTATTTACCGTCTCATTCATAAGTCAATGTAATTTTTTT